CAGCAGGAACTCACTGATTGATCTTGATACTGATACTATGCATATTATATATGCGATCATTACAGTAGATTCTAAGATTTACATGGCAACTTCTTTAAATGGAAGCTAATTTTAATGAGAACTTTTATTTTTTTTCATGCTGCAAAAAAGCTAAAGGATTTCTAATCTCAGTGAAACACAAACTTTTCCAAGACCTCAAGTGTTCTATAGCTTTCCCTTTTCCAGTTTTAGTTTTCTGTAGTCTTAGAGATGGAATGGAGCAATACATCTTTTAATTCACAATGTTTCAACCGTTTCCTCTTGGCTAGATGCTGCTGACCATACTTAGTCTTCCTGTTTTCTTACAAAAAGGTCATTCTAATAATTCAAACCGTTCATTGAGTTGAGGAGTCATAGAAACTTTGTAATAGACATTAAAGACCATCTGTGCCTTTCCTGTTCATGATCACAGACTGCTTTCTTTCACTTGTGAAAAATTAGGTCTGGCTATTAGCAATTCTGTGTTGGCAACACCATGTTGCATTCAGGCACGTGTTTTTGGCTTTTGTAGTACATTTTTTAAAAAGACTGAAAATCAGTAGTGATACTTTTGGACTATCTTTCTGGCTTGATTACCTTTACATGCTCAGTAATGGCAAGCATGTTTAGCAAAAAGGATCCTGTTGCAACATGGAAGGGCAACATGGAAACATCTTAGTTAATTGAACAATTCCACTGTAATTTCAGGAAACAACAACAATATTTATGCAGAGTTCTAAAGTTCAGGTCTACTGCTGAGTGCAAATCTCACTCACTGGAGGTGAAATGTATCTTTATTTTTAACCTTAGTGATTGCTTGGCAGTGAGTGCTAGTGAAGTAGATCTTCAAGACCCAATTTAAGAAGTCTCTTGGCATTCTTGTATCTTCTTTTATTAGAAGAACATTTCACAAGCATCATGGCAAAATGTGGTTAAGCTTGTTGTGTTGATTGTTTCTGTGTCTCTTTGAGTATTGCTTCCCCAGTGTCATAGAGGTAATGTGAGGACATGCTCTGAGGCAATATAACAGGTAATGCAGCACATCAGTGGCAATTCTATGGTGTAAAGCTGGTAGAAAGAAAAAACTAGTAAAGCTTGCTGGTTAAATGTCTAATGCAGATTGAACAATCCCTGAAACGAACAATGGCTGTTTCATTTAACTACCTGTTTGCAGTGTTGGGTGTAACATCAGGTAGGGGTGTGTACTCGTGTGTTGTAACATGTTCACAAACAGTTGCAGTGCTTACTTGTACTTTTTTTTTGTTTTAGCTACAGCTTCAAAGTGGTACAGTGTACTGTAATGAAATTAGTCTCTTGTAAGTTGCCTTTTAAATTAAGTTACTCAATAAGTTAATTTCAAACTGTAGATCTTGTTGCATATGCTTTTCTTTCTTCCTTAGCTCCATTTTGCCAAATGGCAGTGTGACAATGTCTTCGTGTTTCTTGCATAAAAATAGCGATGTGAATTGGCTGCTTGAAATAAGACAAAAACAGGCAGTTGTTCTGTTGCTTTCTAAATATTTGTTCAAGGTTTTAGAATCCACTTGCTCAACTTGTTCATTGGGCTTCCTGTATAATGTTGTAAAACCTTGGCTTAATTCCCAAGGGGTGGTAGTGTGGCTGTCCTGTTTACCAAGTTAACAGCTGTGGCCATTTTAGATGTTACTTCTCAGATGGAGGTTACGGACCCTGTAGTGGAGTTAGCAGGAAGGTGAGTGTAGCATCTGCTCTTCTGTCATATGGTAAACTTACCTTCTTGGGTGATTAAACCAGTGTGCCATACTGAACTCGGACAACTGAGGTATCATTTAGTTTTGCAAAGTCTGTTACCTGGTCGTTAGCAGCTGTCTCCTCTGGGAATTGCCAGACAGCTGAGGGGATATAATGTTACAAATTGCTGCAGCTAAATTAACTATAGCACATTTGTCAGAGCTGAGAATTATCTTGCAGTGATCATATATAAATGAGATTAGTCCCTGAAAAGGAATGTATTATTTATTGGCTTTTTGGAGGTGACATTTTATTACAAGACTGCCAATATAAATCCCCCAGCTTGTATTTTTAATTTGGCCTCCTACATTATGACAAAATTCAGCATCTTTTATTGGGCACTAAAATTTCAATCTAATTATGCAGCCTGGCAAGTTAAAACTTGTTAAATGGATTATCTGAATGTTATGTGTTAGTCACATCTAAGTACTTAGATGCTGCAGGAATAGAATGACACCAAGTGATTAGTACGAAACAAATAGTTTCTCATTCAAAGTGTTTCTGAACCCTCAGCTGAGCACTAATTCATTCTGATGGCTTTTGGCACTGTGATTTCAGTGTGATCTGCCCCTTCTGCTTCCCAAGGCAACCAGTGTTAAACAGGTTAGCTTGACTGACTGTTGAAATTGCCACCACACAGTGATGTAAAAGATAAATAGGTAACCAATAGTACTCCTGGATGAGGGCTCAGATTAACTGGTTGTGTCATTAGGTCATTTTCTGCAAATTTAGTTAATCTTTAGCATCTTGAGTTAACCTCAGAACCTTTTTGCAGTGTTGTAAGTATCAAATATAGTTACTCTCCTGAGTAGAAAGCATGGGCTGTGGTTTTCTGCAGGAGTTATCTGTTTCTGATTGCTGTGATGGAAGGAATGGTGTTTAAATGTTTGGTCTAATTCATATAGACAGGTAAGGGTACAGACCTCTTAGCAGTAATTGCGAAAATGTTAACTTAAGCAAAAGAAACAGTCACTGTGTGTATTACTGCCCTCCTTGATGTCTGTCTAAAGTTTGTTGCTGCTTGAGCTGTGCTTGCTCGCTACTACTCGAGTAGCTGTACTAGTATGTTGGGTCCTGGTTTTGGTGAAGCCTGGCCCAGGTGATTGAGCTTGGGTATGAGCTTCTTATTCACTAAATGCTGATAATTATAGAATGCCTGTGATAAGCAGTTTATTTGTAAACAGGATGAACAGCCTGGTGTTTCTAACTTTGTAAAAAAAATAATAAAATAAAATAGGAAAACATCATTGAACTTTTGTGAATTTCCTGTTTTATGGAGCTCACTTTCTGTCATCCTTCAAAATTTTGTGTAACTTGTGCTAGGATATGAAATTATTGGTGGTCACAATAAGAGAATTCATTGTCCAGCAGTGTAGAGGTCTAAATAATTGATCCCTTGGGAGTTTGTGCACATAGCTGTCTGGTAGCTTTTGAGCATTCTCTTCTTCCAGCCAACTCTTACGTTCTTCTTTTTAACTTCAGCTTAGTTATATGAGCTGTTTGTCTTTCAGAACCAACACATAATCAGCCAAACCGAACCAAGAGGAAGCAGAATATTTGAGAAGGCTCCCTGCATCTCATGAATGAACTAACGGAACTCGATAATGCTGGTTCTGCAGAGCCAGTTCTACGGCTCAGAAAAGGACACATGTCCAACACTGCAACAACACAGGCAGCCTTGGAAGAGGACAGCTCTGAGCAGAGGCTTCTTCTAGTGAAGCCACCTCTGTCTTCTGACCAGGAAAATGTAAGTTATATGATTATCTGTTGGGTTTGCTAGGAAAAAAGAGTTTTGACATAAGTCCTTCAGTGCTTGAAATAAGTTCTAGAAGTGTGAACCATGAGCCTACAACCTCTTCCTGCCTGCTAAATAACTGTAATAAAACCAGAAGATCAGAAATATTCAGTTGAATTTATGGGAACTTGGGTGGCAAGATGGGGCATAACTAAGTTTACCAGCATAATATTTTTTGTTCCCTCTTTAAATAAATGAACTCATAATGGTTTGTTTTCTGCTGAGATTCTGCTCTTTTCAAAAGACTTTCATTCTGTAACTTCCAGTTAACTGTAAGTGAAAGGAGAAGATACCTTGACTCTGGCTGAATGTAATCCAAATCTTGGCTAATTTCTGTTATTTTAGAGATGAGGGCAGAAAAATCTGTTAGTAGATTGTTGGAGGAATGGCCATACTGGATTAGAACATCCACAACACACAACTCACTCTCACAACAGTAGGCAGTAACAGGCTATTAAGGAAGAGTGCAAGGATGGGGAAGCATGTTGTGTTGCTTTGCTGGGACACTCTCACAGCTTTTAGTAATTGGTAGCTGACAAATTTCCTGGCAATATTTTTGAATTTTTGGAGCATAAGTCTTTGTGAATTTTAGCAGCCACAACATCCTTTGGAGAGGCCCTCCACAGCTGAATTAGGTGTTGTATATGAGTTGTGTCTCCAAGCATTGGTCAAAAGTACCTTCTGGTTAGAGAGTTTCAGGATTGTAATTAGTGCATCTTCTAGGATGTATATATAGATAGATATCAGCACAGTTAAGTGGAAGAGGCATTCAGCTTTGGCTCACTGTTAAATTTGTCACAGTTTAATGAATTTATTGTATCAGTGCAGTTACAGTAACTGTGTAGTTTTAGCCAGCAGCAAAAACATGCTGGTGCTACTTAATGCAGCCTTCAATGCAGAAGAATTGGACTGTTGCTGTCCAAATAGCATTTACCACAGATTCTGGGTGTGTGCAGGATTACTATTGTGGTTCAGCTGATGTGAGAATGTTTATTAAGCTAGCTTAACTTGATTAGTTTGAGCTCTTACTGAATTTAATTTCAGGTGTCCTTATAACGAGAAGTCTGAACAGGTATTCACATCTAATAAGCCAAGCCAATGCACTAGAAGTTGTACACCACTAAAACTTCTCTAGGACACTATCACTACATTTGCAACAGCAAATGCCCAGAGTATTTTTGTTCATATGATGTGGAAGGTCATAAAGCAGGTGTGTAAGGTGCAAAGTGTTAGCCAACAACTGAATTTGTTAGGCTTAGGAGAAAGAAAAGTTGAGTTGTACTAGCAGATATTTTGAATGTACATATGTTTATCTGGCAGTGTGTTTGGGATCATCTTTTTTGAAGGCCGTATTCATTCTTGTCTCCGTTCCTTCCTGGTTGCCTTCTCTTAAGTTACCTGTTGCCTGTAGATAAAATAGCCCAAAGTAAAAGTCCATAACTGATTCTGGCCTCTAATTATTTCTGTACATTTGCTTAACTAAATAGAATATATTTTGGATGAGTCAAGTTGTTCAATTTTAGAACTTGGGTAATAAAGGGGAGGGGAGACTTCACCACTCTCTACAACTACCTGGAAGGACATTGCAGGGAGGTTGGTGCTGGTCTCTTCACACAGGTATTAGCAACAGAACAAGAGAGAATGGCTTCAAGCTGCAACAGGATAGGGTTAGACTGGACATTAGGAAAAAAAATTTCACAGAAGGAGTGGTCAGACACTGGAACAGGCTGCCCAGGGAGGTGTTTTAGTCACCATCCCTGGATGTGTTTAAGGGTTGTTTGGATGTAGTGGTGGTGGATATGGTTTAGGGGAGAAGTTTGTAGAGTAGGGATGATGGTTGGACTTGATGATCCCAAGAATCTTTTCCAACCTGAGTGGTTCTATGATGCTATGATTCTATGAAAAATATTAGAGTACTCTCTTTCTGCTTTTTCTGGCATTCTTAGCATGTGTTAGTGCTTTTTGTGTGTGTGTTTGCTTTCATCCTTATTACAAAAGGATGTGTTTCTTTTGCTTTGGCTCACTACAGCTCATTAGCTTTTTAGTATTTGGTATCTTCTGTCTTTTCCAGTATCCTAAAATGCTGCCACAGAAATTTGTTTTTGCCATTTGTGTCTTGACCTGTCTCACTGTCACTTTCTCTTCCTTATATAGCCTCCTGCTTTTTGGACTTTTTTCAGCTTACACTTTTGTTGTCCTTTGTGATTTCTTGTTTTTAATACTGTGATACCTATTTTTTTTTTTCCTCTAAAAAGGTTGAATAATTTATGTTTCAAATGGAGCATCCCGAAACACTCTGCTGTCAAAAGCACCAATGTTAGCTTGCCAAATGGCCTTTATTATGTGACATACTGCAGTGTTCTAAGTAAACTGCAAAAAACTTTATGCTGTGTATCTTTCTTGGTCTTGTATAAGCCTCAGCGTAGCTGTTGCTTGAATGCTAGCTAGGAGTCACTTTTTTGTTCTTCTGTGTGTTCTGACTACATGCAACTGCTTCAGTAGAAATTACTTATTAATTCCAAAGCATGATTTTCGTCTGGTTTTGAAGAAGCTTTTGTTTAGGCAACAGTAAGATAAAGTTATTGTTCTGCAGATGACAATAACACTTGGGCACACAGGCTGAACATAGCCTTATAAAACGCCTCCAAGTAGTGCCTGCTTGCCTAAGTATTCTAATTGCTAAATGCAACCATGTTGAAGCCAGTGGCAACAATCAAGGAATTTCTATGTTGAAGAAGTGGATGAAAGCTATGCAGTATCTTGATGGTAGAACAACCATGGTAATTTAATATGCTTTTGTATTAATATGTATTCTAATAGATATAATACTTCCCCAAAACTTACTGGGCCTAAGACTTGAGGTAGTACTGTAAGATTGTGTGTATTTGTATCCTGTGATAATACAGCATAGTTTATTTATTCTCTGGCCTCCTATTACCTTATTTATATCATTGCAGCTCATTTATATAAAACTACCCCAAACTCGCCTATACAAGATTCCCTTCCCTCTGCCTACTTATATCCACTTTCTGCTCCACTTGTAGGAGGAAGCAGTCTGAGCTTTTAAGAAATAGTAATTGCTTTTTATGAATTATTTTAATAGTATTTTCTAAGGAGGTGTGTTGAAGCATACTACTGCATTTTTCAGAATTACTTTCCATCTCCTCCCCAACTTCCATTGTGTACTATCTATTTCTAATTTTGATGGGCCAAAATATTGACCCTCTTTAGAAATTCAGTCCTGAAAGTTATTTTGAGGCCTTTGTCCCTGGCACTAGTAACCTCCTTGGCTGTGAACTAAAAACTACATTAAAGATTTTAATTACTGTAGGTTGTGGCATTCACTGAATACATGTAGCAAGGATTTACTATTATATTGAGCGTGCTTATCCAAAATAATAAAACAGCTGCATCCTTCTGCCAGTGCTGTTCATCTGCCAGTTTTATAATTAAGCTTACAAGAAGATAAGTATAATATAAAATCAATATAATTTTACACTTTGAGTCTCCTGCATTTTATGCCATAATTCTTATGTTCTCTCCCAGAGTGCATATATGTGCATAGTTTATATCCTCTTCCAAGTATCAGTTCCCAAGAATAGAAAAACATTTTGCTATCATGTTTAAACACACAGTGTAGTGGCAGATGAGTGGTGTACCTTCTTGGAGAAATAGTGACCATTTATCTGAATGGTAAGGATTTGGTGGTGAGAAAGGGATCAGACAAGCTGTATAAGTCTTCCCTTTCTTTCAGCAGTTTAAACTTTTTTTTTTTTTTTCCTTTATCTAGCTTGCATGTGCTGTGTATGAGCTCATAAGGCATTTTTCAGCAGGTGCTTCCCTCCTATGGCATGCTAGATTGCCCATCCTTTGGGACATAATATTTTCTGCTCTCCTACTGTTTCTGTGTCTCAACTGCCTTTTTAATTTCAGTAGTGATAGTTCCTAAAGAAACCTTTCTTTCTGTGGCTTTGCTAAGCTAACACGATCATATATGCATGTGACTTTTTATAACTTGATGAATGGGCTCTTTATGCAACCCTAAAAACCTGGGCTTAACTCTTTCCTTCTTTAACCTGTCAAGTTACAGGAGGTAAGCAAAAGAACCATCTTTTATTCCAGTCATCAGGCTTTAATGATGATTCCTTGCATGCAGTTGAGCTGCATTGTGCAGCTGTCCTGTGCAGTACCAAAATGCACTCATGAAGTGGAGACTCTTAAGTGTTTGATTATACACTATAAGGGTTTGGGAGGAGGTATGTGTAGTTCCCAAGTCATCTGAATGGACAGAAGAAATTTGGGCAAATACTCACCTGGATTGCTTCTCAAGGAGCATAGGTTTTGACTGCAAGTGGAACTTACTTGACCTCTGACAAATTTCATGATAGGTGCATGTAGCTGTAAGTATCTTTCTGGAGCATAAATGCCAAAGTGAGTTGAGGGAGGGAGGCAGAAGGGTGTAACAGATTTTCAGGTACAAAAAAGAATGTTTTGGAATAATTGGAAGGAGAGCTTTACTTGAGGCTTTAAACATGAATCACAGAACTTAAAGCCTTTTCTGTTCCAAAAGTGTGTACATATGTGCAAAAATAGACCAGAAAAATAGTTTTGGTATTGACAGAAGGGTGCATGTAAATTCATGGAATTGTCAACTTGTCTTTATGATGCATTCTGTCTGAGTGGAAAAGATACAGGTGAAAGTTAAAGCCAAATGCAGACATTTGAGCCGTCAGTCTTTCTAGAAGTGGTACTAGTCAATTTTGATTGCCTTAATTTTTTTTTCTTCTCCGTTTGAAACCATCTAGCTTTATTTTCAAGCTAGCATTTTATTATTGGTACATGGAATTATGATTTAAAACTCGGCATCTGGTTCTGTATTTGCCTTTTTCCTTTTTGTTGGTAGAGGTTGTCTTCTGTGTGTGTATAGGAGAGGCCTGGTATTACAGCATTTG